TGTATTCTTTGTGAAGAGGGAACTGTTTGCTGTCAGGGTTTTAATATCTGAAAGAAGGAAAAGCAAGAATTAGGCTGAGTTTGTTATTTTTGAAAACAAAACAGAAAAAAAAAAAAAAAGAAAAGTGATTTCTGAGCATCCCAAACGATCAGGAAAGAAAGACACTTGTCCAAAGCAGGAAGCAAAGGAGAATGGGGAAGGGATACAAGTCAGAGACCATTTCTAAAATACCAACGGAGCTCCAGTGCTACCTGCTCTTCTATGAGTCACACTTCCCATTATTAAGTCTTTATGAAATAAACAAAAACTGCTTTATGTCATTTTTGTAGCGGCATCCATCTCTACCTCTCTGTTATTTTAGGAGTTGGAAATCTGTATTCCTCAATTGTTCACCAAATTAATGTTGTACTTCTTATAACTCTTCCAAGATCCTATTTCTAATCTGGTTTTGCTATTTTTTAATTTCCCCCAACTCTTACTTCCTATTTCAGGGTTGGGGTAGGGACAGGGACAGGGTGAGGCATGTACAAGTTTCTGGCTTTCTCTCTCATTTCTTGGGCAGAGCTGGGTTGCTCTAATTGACCTCAAGGGTCTCAGCTGTGCTAAGTTGGGTGTTTGTTAGATCTTGTTAGGCTTGTAATTAGTGCAGGGAATCTAGGTCAGAGGCAACAGACTGGAGTGATGGTCTGGGGCGGGGGCATGGATAAGGGGGCTGGTGGGGAGGATAGCAAACAGGTTCCTCATTCAGAGGGTGGGGTGAGTCAGGGACAAGGAACGGTATGACTGGTATCAGACACACAGACCAATAGATGCAGGGTCACATGCAAAGCGCTCAAACTCATGTGTGTGCATGTTTGTGTGTGTGAGTGTGTGTTCTCTTCACTCCCGCATTTACTCGGGTTTCCTTCCAACCTCTCCATATATGGTGTGGCTTTAGAGCAGGCTGGGGATTGGCTGCTGTTGTTGGGAGACTGGGAGGTAGGAAGAACGCTGAAAAAGAACTGAACCAAGCTAAGGGGAGTGAGAAGGGGGCGGGGGCTGTGGCTGAGCTTTGAGGGTTGCAGAATGGGGGTAGGCTGACTTGCCAGTGAGATCTACAAAGAGTTGAGATTCACTGGAACTAGTTTCTGGGGAGAATGAGAGGGAGAAAGGGTAGGGAAGGAGACCAGTTATTTTCCCATGGCCAGTACTATAGGCTTAGTTAGCATTGTGTGGAGAAACTTGGGGTGTTTTTGTTGTTCCTTTTTATTCCAACCAAAACACCCGAAAGCTATGCTGTGGGAATAACACTGCTGGCTTTTCAGGTTAACAGTTCAGACATTCTTCCTAATGGGGGAAGCTCAGGAATCTACATCTATCTGTTCTCCAAACTCCTACATAACTACCTTACAGGGAAGAAGAGGAAAAATTGAGGAAAATGTCATTGAAATGTGAAGTAAGCATTTAGCTGAATTTCTGTCTCCCCATCCTAGCACCTCCCAAAGGATTGTCCCTTTGCTAGTTTGTCTGTGTCAGAAGAGAATTTAATAAAGTTGTTGGAAGGAGGATGGGAAAAGGAATAAATACATCCTGAAAATGTTTATTGACAATTACCTAAGTGAGCAAGTTGCCCCAACGGCCACAGATCTCTTCCCCTACTCATTCCACCTGTTTATCCCAAAACACAGTGACTGGGAGGAAGTAAAGAAATAGCACATGTAAAGATAATGAATGATGGGAGTGAGGGAAGCAAAGTGCTTGGCCTGGGCCTCAATAAAAGGAGGGGCAGAATTACAGTTGTTAAGTGCTGTTGAGTTGGTTCCAACTCATAGTGACCCTGTATAGGGTTTCCGAGGAGAGGCTGGTGAGCTTGAACCACCAACCTTGCAGTTCAAACCGACTTTGCAGTCCAGCCATTAACCCACAGCGCCATACTAGGAGCATAATTCTCCTAACATAATGCCTGAGCTCAAAACACATCTTTATTTACAGCAATGTTGTTAGTAACCCACCATGAAGATACCTTGCAGCTATTTTTCTAGCAGAAAGCCTGGTTTTGTGCTAAACTTTGAAATTCTTGAAGAGATCTTCCGCCCCTTGTTCTATCTCTAGCAGTTGGCACAGTAACATTGACACTCTCTCTCCTTTGAAGAAAGCATTATGGGTGCAGCATGTGGACTCCATCAGCTGTGGACTAGAACAGAGTGACAGCCATCATTCTGTAGCTGTCAGCTAGCAGTTCATAGCCAGTGAGTCACACTAAGAATAGTAGCAGCACCTGTCACAGCAGCCATGTATTGTCAGGCATTTTCCATACATTGTCTACCCAGCGAACAACTCTGTACTTTACAGAGTTGCCTTGCCCAATGCCTCACATCCAAAAAGGTGAGTCAGAATTTGAACCTAAATCTGATTCCATAGCTGGGCTCGTTTCACCACCTTGTGGCCTGGAAGATCCAGCAATTAAAGCACTGGAAGCCCCTATGCCTGAAGACCCCAGGAGCCCAGGGCCCAGCTCCTCAGTCTTCCTAAGGTCCCTGATCTTTTCTTCTTCCCTCACTTGTCATATTCCTCTTCAGTGTCTCCCTCCATCCTCTTGGGAGTCACAGATTATTGGCATGTTGGGGTATACATACTGTTCTTGCTTTTTGTCTTTCTCATCATGTGGGAGTAACAAGAAGAGGGATAATACTGGTAAAATAAAATTTGTGTAAATATGGAGACACTTGAAAAGAAAGCCAATAGAATTTTATAGACTTTCAATATTTATGAAAATGGGTTACTCTGCTGATTAAGCGAAGTTTTGAAAGGATTGAAGTTTATTTGGAGGACAGGAATCACGGAGAACTCAGTTCTCTCAACCTGTACCCCAGGAGACCCTGACCATGACACTGAGGCCCAGGGTGGCACTCGCTTGTCTTCTCTCATTCAAGTGACACATACCATTGTTTGGTTAAAAAAATATATAAGACATAGTGGTACTTATGAAAATACTTCCCAGGGGGAGGGAATGGAAAAACTGAAGACAAATTATTTGCACTAAAAATCTGGTAGTTTAGATTATAACTAAAGGCTAACTGTAGTCAATTCTGAAACCTACAGTTTCCGAGACTATAAATCTTTATGGAAGCAGATAGTCTTATCTTTCTTCTGTTGAATGGCTGGTAAGTTTCAACTGCTGACCTTGTGGTTAGCAGCCCAATGACTAACCCAATATGCCACCATGGCTTCCTTCTTAAAGGCTACATCTTGAGAAAATCTTCAAGACGGAGTAGTAAAGGGCTTAAAAAGGGCACGAATAGCTCTTTCATAGAAGTGGTTAAGAGTTCCTGGGAAGTATTCAGTTAAGCATGGTGGTTCTGTCAGTTATACACTTGATTGTGAAATACAAGATCAGTGGTTCGAGCCCACCAGCCACTCTGAAGGAAAAAGATGGCAAAAGATGGTTTTCTACTCCTGCAGATTTACAGCCCTGGACATCCCATACAGGGGCACTGAGTTGGAACCAACTCAATGGTACTTAACAATACTAACAGAAAAGTTGGCAGTTCAAAACCACCCAGAGGTACCTTGGAGAATGGCCTGGTGATCTGCTTCTGAAAGGTTACAGCCATTGAAAATCCTATGTATAGTTTTACTCTGAAACATGAGCTAACCATGAATTGGAACTCAAAAACAACGGGTTAAAGGTAGTTTGACTTGGAGAGGTTCCCCCCAGATGTGAGGAGTGTCAGAGCAGGATTGTAATTGAAGGGCCTACATGTCTCCCCAAGTATTTTCCTTCTCTCCCTTCTTCCTAGTGGTCACATTAAGGTACCTCATGCTTGGAGTCTACAGACAATTTGTCTTCATTGACTCTCCTTCCTCCCCTCTCACCCTTAGTGAACCTGTGTCATGGCTTTTGGAAGTAAGAGACTTAAGAGACATCTGGAAGCTAGCAAGTACACACTTTCAAGTACTGTCCCTCATTTACTTGATTCATGAAGTTCTCTGTCTCTAAAAATCATTCATATCTAGCTGCCACAATTCTTCTCTGGACTTTATCACTGCAGCTAAACCTGATCTTAGAAACTTCAGAGGAAAGCAAGCAAACACAGTGAGTTGTGAAGGATCTACCATAGATAAGAATTCAAGTGGCCTTTGGCAGCTCCTGGTATCCAAAGGGAGTCAGGAAGGGTGCTGGTGTGAGCATAAAGATGTTTTTCTTAAGTTGGATTTAATTAGTGTTGGAAAAGAGATTTGAGGAAGGAGAGGGAGTGGCTACAGGAAACCCTAGCTTGGCCAAAAGAGGAACCTGGACACATGTTTGGGTTTTCCCCTTCATTCTACCCAGCCTGCATCGCAAATCAGTTTCATTCTTAGCTTAGTTCTTCTCTGAGGTCAGCTGTCCCTAGTTCCCCTGTGTTAGGCCCCTTAAGCCAAATGACACAAGTCAATTCAATCCATCCGGGGTTGTATCTCTTCAAAGTGTTGGAAAGAGTATGGGAGGTGAAAAGAAGGCACACCCCAAGTAAGAAAAGCCAGGTAGCTCAATCTCTATCACAGGTACTGCTAATTAAGAGTGAGAAGCCAGTACCTGGCGGGGGCGATTTTCATTCCACAAATCCTCCTCAGTAGGTGGGGATCTATTTCACTTCTCCTATGTGCATGGACAGGTGGCACTGGCTTCATCTCTAGAGCTAGAGTTGGGCAGCTGAAATTTCACCCTCAGATTGAAAACCTGGAATGGGACATTAGAGAAACCCTTTTCTCCAACCCCCTCTAGACTGAGAAGTCTATACATGTACTCCCCACTAGGTCTTGGAGAGGGGTGGTATATGTAAAATGCTCAGGCTGGGCTTATTACCCTTTCTATCGGTCCAGGTGAATGTTTCTTAATACAGCTTAGGGGCCACCTCCTCATCAAAACAGAGGCAATTATGTCTGACACAGAGAGAGAAGACACTAAGCAGGTTGGGACAGAAGGGTTGTAGGAGGGTCAGGTATTTCAAGAGCAACGTTTGATTGTGTTTTTTCTTTTTTTTTTCTTTTTTGATTGAGGTAAATAAAAAAGCTTTATCCTGCAACACTTGGCGATAAGAGTCTGTCCACCCCCCAAGAGTTTCAGACCCTGTCCTCTTCCCTTACATTAGGCTCTTCCGGTACTGGCTGTGTTGGGTACTGTGTCTGAGGTGGGAGTCTGGGGTCTGCAGGTCCATCTGTCTGTATAGGTCCCTCAGCTCCCTAACTTCCTGCAGCACCCTCTTGGCCTGGCTCCAATTCGATGATGCCTCCCCCAGCAGGCGCTCAGTCTCCAGCAGCAGCTGCTCTGACTCAGAGTCAGGAGGAGACCCAGGGGGGTCCTTGGCCTTTCGCTTCCCGTCTCCCAGTCCCTGAACCTCTGCCAACAGCTCCTGAGTCTTCTCCAGTTTCCTTGCTACCAGGTCCTGGATCCGGGACAGCTGCCCCGGGTTGGGTAGGATGGGGGTAGGGGGTTCTTCGGCTCGCAACTGGAGGGTACGGGCTGGGGCAGCGTCCCGCCGAGATAGGATCTCCTCCAGGGAGGTACAGCGGCCTTTCTCTGTGGGGGTCAACTTCTTGGGTGCCTGGGGGGTGTAGGTGGCCCCCTTGTCTGGCTTTTCCCAGGGTCGGGAAAGGCTGCTTGCCCGGTCTGAGGTGGGCTGGATCCTGTCTGAGTCTGCTCTCCGCCGAATGCCTGCCAGCTGGGCCACAGACTTGTCCAAGTCCACCCGAAAGCTCTCAGCACAAGAGGTTGGTTCCTCAGGGGAAGGATCTTCCTCCTGGATAAGGTCCAAGGTTAGCATCCCATCCGAGGTAGAAGTTGAAGCCTGGAAAAAAATAGGATGGGGACCAAGGGATAAAGTGTAAGTGGGGATTTCAGGAATGACTGCCTGAAATAAGTTGTAGTCATTTTCTTCAAGATCCCTTCCGTGAGTGAGAAACCCTCTACTGCGGATGAGCCCTTCTCACTTATTTACAATTTCTTATTCCTGTAATACTAATTTGAATGTCTTTCTCTTATTTTTCTGTAAAGTACTTTCTCATGCTTTCCCCCCATATTCTCTACTTTACTACATGGTCTTCAAAGAGTGTCTTCATTTTCTATATTGTGGACCACAAGCATCAGTTAGGTTTGACACACATGGATATTCCACATAATGCAGCTACTGTCTTCTGCCACCTGCATCCTCTGAGCCACACACTTCACACCCTCTGCTACGTGGGACCCCAAATCCCTTGCCTAATGATAAAACTTGCTCTATATCCAGCTCTGGTATGGCGCTGTAGGATAAGCACTCGACTACAAGGTCAGTTTGAACCACAGGTTGGCAGTTCAAACTCACCAGCTGCTCCTTGGAAACTCTATACACGGTTACTTACTATGATTCGGAACTGACTTAACAGCACCTAACAACATTATCTAGAATACTATAGTTTGAAACGATGATAAAGATATTCAGTATCTCACTAGTATTGATGCTCTGTTCCTCAGAGCAAACCTTCAAGGCACGCATCATCAGTACCCAGTTTTACAACCGGAGACACACAACTTCAAGAGAACCACAAATCACAAAGCTAGATTCCACCTCTGGTTCTGTCCAATTCCAAAGCTTAGGTTTTTTTCTATCCCTGAATGCCTCCCTTCCTAGGAACTGAGAGCTTAGACAAGTGAAAGAAGCCACACAACTTTCTATGTTACAGCAGCACACCTCTTCTGAAAGCCTGTGACAATTAATGTGGCTACCCACCAGGGCAGACAGTTACCAATATAGTAATTTGTATTGTCATGTATAATATACAGCTCTTCTTTCCTTATGAGTACAGGTCTCATTTTCATGCAAAGATGATACAATTTTTTGAGGGCAGGGTCTTCTGAACTCATAGTCGAGTTCGATAAATACTTTTTAGTTAGAGTAATCAGGCTGCAGGGTGGGTAAGAGGGATTTCCCTTGCCTTTTGACCTTGGTATCTAGAAAGTCTCCCATAAATACCTCTGGTAATCTGTCTGAGATACAGTTCTGAGATGGACTAGGACTAGGACTAGGAACTGGTTCTTCAACAATGTTTACTTTCTTGCAGTCTTACATACCACAGCCATTAGGTGTCCCCGAGTTGGGGGGCGGCGGGAGTGTTGGATTTTTGCCCGGTCTCGAGTAGGGTGGGCGAGATAGCTGTCCTCCTCAACAGTGACCTAAAGATATGAACAATGAGTCATGGTTGCTCTTCAGAGGCACTCTGTCCCAACCTAACATCCCCTGAGGCCTGAGTGTGCCTGGACTGGGAATAAACCCACACCATTACCTGCTTCTGGGCAAACCCTATGGGCAAGGGATTTCCTGGACATGAACTGGTTTTTTAAGCTGGCCCAAGGCTGATGCATGTGTCATAAAGAAGAGAAAAGGAGTTGGTAGGAAAGACTTAGAAAGAAGGTGGAAGGAGAATAGGGAGTTAAAGAAGTAGGGCTGGTGGTGGGGGGCAAGTAAAAGGGTTCTATGAGATAATCAGCCCTCTCAGTGAGTCACAGCTACTCCCTTGCACCCCAATATCCCTCAACCCACAATGAGCCCACTACCTCATCCAAGATGCGGTTCTTGGCTCGGGTGACAGCAGAGTTGAGGGCATTGATCCATGATTCCTTCTCTTCTGGACTCACTGCCAGGAAGATCAGGTTGGGTGCCTGTGAGGGGAAGATTCTTGTTTCAGCCAGGGTTTTATAGTTGGTGTCTCACCTTGACAGTGAAGAAATAAGAAATGATCATCTTATTCTCTTAGCCCTAGCTCCTGGAAGGAGACAGATTCTGTTTCCTGAGCCATCCATACATTAAGGAAATCCAGCTTCTAATACAATAAAATGCCATAGCTTCAAAGTTGTTTTATAAGTGACCAAGGAAAAGTTGAGAGGGTACTGAGTATTAGTATGGGACTGGAGCTCATTTGAGAAGACTGGTAAAGGACAGGTACTAAAATAAAGATCTTTACAAGTTTGAAACAACAGAATGCCACAGAAATAGGAGGAAACACATACATATTACCAGGCTTTTTGGAGTGGATAAGGGTGAATTTGCTATGGCTTTTTCTTGCTGGGTTTCCTCCAACAAGAGGAATTAGATTCAATAACCTATTAAGGTACAGGAACCTGTAATTTCCTCTCAAGAGGTCTGTGTGTGTGGATGTGTAAACATGCATACATGCATGTGTGTATACATACATGTATGCATGCTTATCTGTTAGACAGGAAGAGAGAGCTGATCTCTCTGGTTGGACAGTTTAAAGGTTGGCCTGTCTGAAGGGAAGGGTATGGCTACAACATCCTCTCAGGTTAAGTGATAAAAGCTGATAGATGAATTCAGGGCATCTGACGCATGAGAGTGAAGAGTGAGAACCTGGAGGAGGAAGGTGTTCTCCTCCTCTGCACCCATTGCCCACACCCCCTGTCCATGCTCTGGTGGCCAAGGTGGCAGGAAACACATACCGTATTACCGGGCTGTTTAGAGTGGGCAAGGGTGAACTTGCTATGATTTTTCTTGCTTCTGCTCTTAGATTTCCGGAGCTCTTCACACTTTTCATAGTCACTCAGGTCAAACACCTCCTGAATATTTTTCTCATCTTTTACCTGGGAGAGGATTGGAAGTAAGGTGAGGAAGATAAGAATTGCTTAGTTCCTTCCCCCCCCCCCCCCCCATTGTTAGTTTCCATCAGTCATGGGAACCAGGAAGAAGCCTGAGGAGGGGGAAGGAATAGCAAGACAGGAAAAGGCTGACCTATCTAAGCCCCAAGGCCCACAAAGGCCAGAAAGCTGGAGGGCAGGTTTGAGGCCACCAGGGAGTCCTGATTCCTAAGGTGGGCTTTAAACTCTTAATCCCTACTTGCCTCAGCCAAGAAACCATTTCAGAGCCCCAGTATGTTTTCCTTATGCATGGTCTCCACTTTGACCTTTCAAGGACATAACTTACATGCTAATAGGCTGATCTGATCATTGTAAAGTCAGTCAGTCTTAATGGCCCTGACTGTCCAAAGGGAGAGATAAAGGCACGGCCTATACAGCCAGCTGCTTCTGGGAACCCCTATACAGGGTGTCTATGGGTCGTAACCTACTCAATGGCACTTAACAACAACAACATACCAGGGATATCTAGAAGGAAAAAAAAGCTGCTTCTGGTATTCCCAGTCTTCCACTTATGTTGTAGCTGTTTTACCCCAACCTTGCTCTCTCCTTTAATAACATAAACTATAATAAAGAAACTCATCTACCGCATTCATTTCAGAAGCTTCATCACCATAGGATCAATAGGCCTCTTTGTAGCAGTTTGTTCCGACAAACTAGAAATACAACTGCAGTTCCTCCCCCTTCTTACTCCTTTCCAAGGTACTGTAACAACTTAGTCTTGAAAAGTCAGTTAATTCACACACCTATCTCTAGGCAAGCCCTGGTGTGTGGCACTGTGGGTTAATGTGCCATTTGAACTGTAATGCCGGCGGTTCAAGCTCACCAGCTGCTCTTTGGAAACCCTACACAGTGTCGTTATGGGTCGGAACCGACTCGAGGGCATTTAACAACATCTCTAGGTAAAGATGCACTTATGGTCTCCCTATAGGACACTTGAGACTTGGGAGACAAAATATCTGCTATTTCTTTTCCTTTTTACAGTTTGAGAGCCTAAGTCCCTTTATTGCCAGAAACTTCTTCCTTGTATTTAAACTTAATCCTTTCTGCTGCAGTTAGCACACATCTTGCACTTTGGTTCTACCCTTAGCAGCTTCCCCAACATTTGGATTTTAACTCTTTTGCTATATGTTTAATGCTGTGGTTGCTAAGTGCCATTGAGTCAGTTTTGACTCATAGTGACCCTGTATAGGGTTTCTGAGAAGCAGCTGAAGGGTTTGAATTGTTGACCTTTTAGTAAGCAGTCCAGTGCTTATCCTACAGAGCCACACCAGGATGCTGAATGTTTAATGCTGCTGTTTTTGTTAAGTACTGTTGAGTTGGTTCTGACCAATAGCGACCCTGTATAGGGTTTTTTGAGGAGCTGGTGAGTTTGAACTGCAGACTTTGTGGTTTTATAAACCAACTTTTGTACTCCAGCACATTAACCCACAGCACCACACCAGGACTCTGAATGCCTAATAAGAGACCATAATTCTGTCTACCTCTTCCACTCCCAACCACCCTTTTCTGAACATTACAAAACAATTTCCATTCACTTTCTTCAAAGGTCCATTTTAAACCTCTCAAGAGCACCCCCCAATCCTCCTCTCCTCCACTTAAGGTGTTCCCAATACTCTGAAGCTACACCAAGTACCAAAGTTAGAGGGAGGATACTAAGTGACAAGCCCAGAGAAACAGCCTGTGACTAGAAAATGTGTTTGCCTTCTGCTACTTGAGTTCAGAAAGAGTTCTGGTAGTGTAGTGGTTACGAATCGGGCTGCTAATCTCACGGTCAGCAGTTTGAAACTACCAGCTGTTCAGTGGGAGAAAGATGAGGCTTTCCGCTCCCGTAAAGATTTACAGCTTCAGAAACCCTATGCAGGGTCACTATGAGTTGGCACAGAACAACAACTTGAATCCAGAGCTTGGAAAACTGGGAATGAGCTGATCACATTTTCCTGGGACAAGAGATGAAAAACAACAGCACTTGTCTTGTTAAAACTAAGGAAGCAAAGATTAAAAAAAAGTAGCCTCACTTGGAAGATACCCACCTCTCTGACTGGAATTGTTCACAAGAGAGCCCCACTGGAATAATTTAGAAAATAATAGTTACATAACTTGAAGAATGTAATCAATGCCACTAAATTGTACATGTAAAAATGACTGTGGTGGCATATGTTTTGTTATGTATATTTTCATAATTGAAAAACAAAACTCTGAAACAGAAATCATGTGTCCTATGGAGATGAACTTATTTATTCTCCTGGTTCTCATCAACCTTGAAGTGGAGAAGTTCTCTGTTCCATTCCCCAGCCCAGTTATAATCTTGAGTCTGCTCAGCCTCCTGAAATGACGCTGGGTAACAGATGATTATGCAGCCCCATTCAGTTGAATTCCTGCTTGTCCATTTATTTAGGCCTGACTTGGCTTTTCTAGGGCTCTTCCCTTTCTGGAGCTCCCCAAATTTGGGCTGGGAAGTAAGCACAGACCTTAAGAGGATTATAGGGGCAAGACGTTGGCAAGGGGCATCCAAGAACAATTCTCAGAAACATGGGACAGGGATGTAGGATGATGCATTGCCCCTCTTTTCCTCCTCCATTCTCAGAGTTGAGACTATCAGCAGAGGCCAGAAATCTTGGAAAGGAAAGTGCTGGGTGTGGGTATGTGGCCAGGGGAAGAGAATTACTTGTTCTGTTTTCCTTAGGGGAAGGGAAGGGAAGGAAGAAGGTTATTCTGGCTTGGACACAAGTAGATAAAGAATTCTGGGAAGCAATGGACACTGACAGAGTTTAGCCTCTGGTGGGGCAGGGGTAGGAGATGGGGTAAGGCAAATAGCAGGACAAGTATATTCCAGAGCCAAGGAAAGATACTCCACCCAAGGAACTTTTTATCTACTGTATTCTGCTCTTATACCCCCCCACCTCCTCTCCCCAATAATTCCCAAAGCCTCTTTTATAATTACTCATCTTGCAAAGTTAACCCTTCTTCTCCCCTAATTCTTTGTTCTTGGCCCACGGAAAGGCATGCTTCCTATGTTTATCATAAATTGGGTGGCCTGAACCCAATTTCTTTTACCATGAGTCTGGCTAAGGTCTACCTTTTATTCCTATATACCAGCTTCAGGATCACAAGTTATCCTAGACCTCTTTGAGAATTAGGAAATCCATGATGGAAGGACTTCTTTGGTAGAGGCAGTTGTGGGAGCTCCTGCCTTGGTAAAGGGAAGTAACAAAAAGGAAAGATTGGTGCAAATTCTGGAGAAGTGGGTTAAGAATTTTCTTACATTAACAAATTAAGTATTATACTTGTTGTTTTTAAGTACCATGTAGTCGGTTTCGATCATAGCGACCCTGCACAAGGTTTCCGAGGCTATAAATCTTTATGGGAGCGGAAAGCCTGATCTTTCTCCTGTGGTATGGCTGGTAGTTTTGAACTGCTGACCTTGAGGTTAGCAGCCCGATTCGTAACCACTACGCTACCAGAGCTCCTTAAGTATTATACTTAGCATTTAAAAAAAAAACACCAAAAAGCAACTTTTTAAACTATTGGCTTTGGAGCTTAGCCCACTCGAGTATAGAAACTGGCTCCAAAGAAGATTTTACCTTCAATAGGTTTGTTCCCTCTTTGCATATGCCCTTCCTAGCAGGGGGCAGTTGGCCCCATGAATGGTCAGATGCTCTTGACTCATAGGATACTAACATCCTGGGCTGAAGTCATTCCATCCTTTCCCCTGTCTCTGAACCCCTTTCCTCCACAAACAAGGCTCTAGTACATTCTTTCACCCCTAGGCTGCTCTTTGGGTAAATGTGAATAAGAAAGAACTGTTTTGTTCCTTGCACTGTTTTCAATCTTCCCCTCTGACGTGTGGGAAGTTCTCCCTGATTGCTCACTCTAGTTTCCGGCCATTATACAGGACCTGCCATACAGAGGTCAGGAAAGAAAGATATACTTTGACACTTTTTTCTTCTTTTTTTAACTAAGAAGTCAAAAATTGTGGAGAAAACCTTTTTCAGGGATTGCCAACTAGTAGTTGTTGTTATTAAGTGCTGTCGAATTGGTCCGACTCATAGTGGCCCTGTATAGGTTTTCCAAGGAGCAGCTGGTAGATTTGAACTGCTGACCTTGTGGTTCGCAGTTTTGTGCTGATCCTATAGCACACCACACCAGGAATCCGCTGTTGTTGAATGTCATCATGTCTGTTCTGATTCATAGCAACCCTGTATAGGGTTTCCAAGGAGCAACTGGTGGGTTTGAACTGCCAACCTTGTGATTCACAGCCCAGTGCTGATCTTCAGCGCCACACTAGGAGGTGACCCTTAAAAAGAAATCCTCCTGTCAAAGTCCTCTTTCAGCTTACTTCCAGGACTCTTTACTACCAAATTCCCAGGTGAGTGTAAACAGTTTGGTTTAAACACCTTAAAGAGGGATCTCTTGGTTTCTGCAGCTTAGTTACTCCCTCTGTTGCTTTAGTAGATGCTCTTTTTACAGATGAGTACTTTCTCTTGGACTTCCTGTGTGTGTCTGTCTCAATACCATAAAAGAATTTATCTACCTAAATATAATCTACTGAGTGTCTACCGCAGGAAGCCAGACATTAAAGAACTGAGAGAGGACTTCCCAGTTAGCTTTGGGCGAGGGAACACAGAATCAGAGAGGAAGGAGTATCTTGGGGGGAACACAACGCAGTCTTTTAGGGCTACACTGACACAGTCAGAGGTAGGGTCTGGGATAACTTCTGTCCCATTGTAGTTGTGTGCTGCCGAGTCACTTCTGACTCACAGCAACTGTGTATAGAGTTTCCAAGGAGTGTCTGGTGGGTTTGCAACACCGACCTTGAGGTTAACAGTCCAGTGCTTATCCTACCGAGCCACACAAGGACTCCCCATGTTGTTGTTGTTAAGTGCCATCAAGTTGTTTTTGACTAATAGCGACCCTGTATAGGGTTTCTGAGGAGCGGTTGGTGAGCTTGAACTACAGACCTTGTGGTTCAAATTGATTTTGTAGTCCAGTGAAGAACTCATAGTGTCACACAAGGACTCCTGGATTCCCCAAAGAGGGGCAATTTTGATTTCTCAATTGTGCTATTCATTATTGATCCCAAGAGATAGGGACAAAAGGAAGACAGTGGATTCAGTGATCTGGGCTCAGGTTCTGACCTAATGTGGGCTATGGTAGTCATTAAAATCATAGAGTCAGACTTATCCAGAAACATACAGAGGTCCATTAACTTCATTTTCTCCCCCTTCTGGTTCAAACTGGGGCAGGAAGGGAGTAAAGAATGAATTCCTTTATTTTAAAGCAGAGATGGGTGGAGAACAGCATGCATACTACTGAGGGACTTATGCTCTAAGAGAAATAACCGTCTGCCTCTCTCAGATATTCTACCCCAGGTCATACAAGTTTGATCCTGGGTTGTATGTGCGTTTTTATATTATGTCTCCTAATGATTCAGGGGGTCTGGTAGTGTAGTGGTTACAAATCAGGCTGCTAACCTCAAGGTCGGCAGTTTGAAACTACCAGCTGTTCCGCGGGAGAAAGATGAGGCTTTCTACTCCTGTAAAGACTTACAGCCTCGGAAACCCTGTACAGGGTCACTATGAGTCGGAACTGACTCCGTGGTACTTAACAACAACAAATTGCTGATATGTATGACCTGTGCATTCCCTGCTGAGACAAGAAAGGGGAGGCTCATTGGGTGGGTTGGGGGAACAGGCAGGAGTAGAGAGTAAACTGAGTAGTGTGTTTCAGTAACAACAGCAAAGAAAAATATTCTGCGTGTAGCTAGAGGCCAGGATAGGGTAGGGGGCAGCAGGGGGCACTTAGAACTTTTGGGACATCTTGGGAAGAGGGGCTTATCATTGTCGTAAGACAATTATTTGTTAAGAAATAGCATTAAATGAGAGGCAAATTCAACTTCTAATTTTAATTCAAGAACTAAAGGGTGACCTTTCCTTGCAGATTAGCTGGAGTAGAAATAAACCTGCTGCTAAACTTGCTTCAAGACCAAAATGGGGGTGGGACGGTGCGAGATTCGAAGCAGAGTCTCCTTGTGGAGACACAAAGTGTGGAACAGGCGAAAATGGGCTCGACCAGGGCAGAGGGCACCTACCTCCTTCTCAGAGATGTAGAGCTGGTCCCCTTTCAGCATCACATAGCGATTTTTCCAAATCTCCCTGAAAATCCCTTTCCCACAGAATTTCCGGACCCAGCCGACCTTCTCGGGTGGTGCAGACTGATGATTTCCATCCTGCGGCCCCTGCCCAGGAGCCAGATAAGAACCATCTGATTAGGTGATGATTGTTTTTTCCTTCGCTCCTGTCCATCCCTCGGGACCCTACTTGATTACCCCTCTCTACATTTTCTGGGACCACCGCACCGAAGGCAGGAGTCGGGGAAATAAAGGTTCGGTCCCCACTTCGGGAAAGGTTTTCACCGTGAGGACCTCCCCTCCCCCCTCTCCCAAATAAACAACTAAAACTGCTACAGAAGCAGGGGGCTGGGCCTGCGAGAAGGGCAGCTCCCGGGATTTCTGTCCTTGTCCCCCCACCTTCTTCCCCCGCTGCTCGATTCCGCTAGCAGCCGCGGGATTAACGGCATTTTATTTATTTCTCATTGTCCTCTCGCCACTGCAGAGCGCGATGCAAACGACTGCCTGTCGCCCAGGGAAGAGGGAAGGTGGGAATCAACCAGAAACTACACCAAGTTAAAACCCCCAAATCCAAGTAAACAAACAAAAGCCCGCCCCACCCCACCCAGTGCCTGGTCGGACCCCCGCGGCCGAGGGGCTTCCAGGCCGCTGGCACCCTGACGGGCCGGGTCCTCAGAGCACAAAGTCAGCTGCAGTTGCAGCGCCCGCAAGCGCACTCACCCGTTTGGTCGAATTGTTCTTCTTCATCCTTCCCGGTGGGCGCGGGTGCGGGGGAAGGGGCAGAGGTGGCTGCGAGGGGGCGCCTTCCCGGGGGAGGGAGTCGGAGATGCCCCCGGCGCCGCCGCCGCCGCTCCTCCCTCTCCCGGACTCTCCCCCTCTTTGTAGCTCCGATTACACTAAAGGCCGGCCTCCCTCGCACTCGCACACACACGCCCGCCCGCTCCCCGCCCCCCGGCGCCGTCCATGCCGGCGCCCACGCGGCCTGGGCCCCCCGCACTCTCGGCCCGGCCCCGCCGCTCCCCCGGCCCGGCGCACAGTGGGCGGCCCAGTCCGCGCCCCGCAGCTCCATCCGCCGGCCCGCTGACGTTGCGAGTTCAGAATAAAGGGCGAATCGCGGAGCCGGAGACAGTGCCGCTCCCCCCTCCTTTGTTTCTGACTCACTGAGAAGGGACCTAAACCCTGCTGAAGACGGCTTCCAGGGGGGCTGGGGCCCCGAGACTCCGGCCCGCGGTCGGAGAGAGAGGTGGAGCCAGGAAAACACCGAACGAACCTGCCGAGAGAGCCAGCAGGAGCAGATGGAGTGGAGAAGAAAGAAACACTTAGATTTATGCAGACTAGAGATAAACAAAATCTAGACCATCTTCCTCCCGAACCCTAAACAAACAAACAAACAAAAAACGAATGGGAGCTGGGAGGGCGTGTTACCAAGAACTGGCATTAGAATTCAGCTCGCTTGGTGGTGGAGATAGTGGCCTGGGCAGGTCAAATGTTGGGGCAAAAAGTTTTATGCTTCAGAGGGTATCGATGTATTTGGGAGACAGGATAGGGGAAGAAGTTAATAGTAATACACATTTCTTCCAGTTTGCAAAGGGTTTTCTTATTTCAGTCTCGAGAGAATAACCCTAAGTGTAAGGTGAATACTATGATCTTCATTTCACAGAGCTAGAAGTGCGACTCAGAATGACTGAGGGATTTACAGGCTTACACTGTAAGTGCTGGCAGCAACAGAACTCTGCCTCCAAAGCCATTTCCCTTTATAACAAGTAGCTTTAAACATAAGCTCCGGGTGATACTCCCTGTGTATCCCACCCACCTTGCTGCACTGACCTATAAGAATGCCATCCTGTCTTCTGCACTGGAGTCCACTGGAAAAAAGGGCCGAATGCCCAGAAAATGCCCTAACCAGAGGAGCCTCTGACAATTCCTCCTACAATCAGACCTTGGCTCAGAGTCTACAGGCCAACATCTCAGCACCCACCCCACCCCACCCCAGTCGATATTTGATGAGAAGAAGGGAGTCAGGAAACCCAAGTTTGGGTAGTGGTTTCATTACCATTCTGCCTTTGGTCAAGTCATTGACTTTCTTTGGGCCTCAGTTTAAAGGATAAACTGCCATTTCCATCAAGGAAAGTTAAGGGAATGTACATGGTGACCCATGAAAGTACTTTGAAAATAAAAGTATTGCCCTCCAGGGTTTATTACTAAATGTGGTGGTGGTTATGTGCCGTGGAGTCAGTTCCGACTCATAGTCACCCTCTACAGGGTTTCCGAGGCTGTAAATCTTTATCAGAGCCTAAAGCCTCATCTTTCTCCCGCAGAACAGTTGGTAGTTTCGAACTACTAACCGTGAGTTTAGCATCCCGATTCGTAACCACTACACTACCAGAGCTCCTTTAAGCTAATAACGACTGGCTGTGGCCTGTTAGATAAAGCACTGGACCACAAGGTTGGTTTGAACCATGAGGTTGTCAGTTCAAACTCACCAGTTGCTCCTTGGAAACCCTGTACAGGGTTGTTATGAGTCAGAACCAACTCGATGGTAGTAAACACAATAAGCATAAGACTTGGCCTATGATAGATACACAATAACTATACAATTAAAAATCACTGGCACAGAGGAATGGAACAAATTTATTTGAAGGGTAGAGGATGCCTTGACTTTTTCTGGTAACTCAAATGAAGGAATTGTTGTTAAGTACCATCAAGTTGGTTCCGACCCATAGTGGCCCTGTATAGGGTTTCCAAGGAGCAACTGGTGACCTTGAACTACCTACCAACCTTATGGTTTAAACCGGCTTTGCAGTTCAGAGCATTAGCCCAGAGCACCACCCCAGGACTCCAAATAAAGGAGGGACCCCTCTATATTCCTTGCCACTTTCCCCCTCTCACTCAATAAGATTGATCTCAACCTTTTCCGATTTTGTTATTGTTGTTAAGTGCTGTCAAATCGGTTCTGACCAAAGGCAGAGTGGTAATGAAACCACTACCCAAACTTGGGTTTCCTGACTCCCTTCTCATCAAATATCTACTGGAGGAGGGGTAGGGGATGGAAAGTTGTTAAGATGCTGGCCTGTAGGCTCTGAGCCAGGGCCTGGTTATAGGAGGAATTGGCAGAGGTTCCTCTAGGGTTTCCAAGGAGCAGCTGGTGAGCTTGAACTGCTGACCTTATGGTTTAAACCGACTTTGCAGTCCAGCGCATTAACCCACAGCACCACACAAGGACTCCAATTTCCTATTAGCTCTACTAATTAATCCTCTACTTTACACTGATACAGAACTTTCTCTTGTCAAAGTGCTCTTATATACTATTTCTTTAAATCTTTAGTCACTTTGTAAGGTATGGTGGTGGTGGTTGTGTGTCATCAAGGCATTTCCAACTCATAGTGACCCTGTATAGAGTTTCCAAGGCTGTATATCTTTATAGGAGCTGGGAGATTCGAACTGCTGAGCTTGCAGTTAGCAGCCCACTTCATAATCTTCTACACTACCAGGACGTCTTAGAGAGGTGTTGAGAAAAAGAATTACTATCCCCATTTGGAAAAAGATACAACAGGGCACAGCACATAACACTTGCCCAAGTTTATACAGAAAGTTAATAGCTCAGTGGTTTAGAACCCAGGCATTTGGACAGTTTATCGTTTGGGCCACACACATGCAACACATTCCCCAAAGCATCCCATTCTCTTCTCAGCATCTCTATTTCCCACTCCCCTTTTAAAAAAAGATGAGAAAACCCAGGGTATCATCACAGGTGAGGAAGTAAATGTACTGATGAGGAAACTATGTTACATGATCTTTTGAGGACTTTGCTGGCCAGGCAGATAGGAGTGGTTTGGATGGTATTCATATAGGAAAATACAGTAAGGTGAGATATGCAGGCAGTGGTTTGGATTTGTAATTTAGCTTCTAGTTTGTGGGGAAAAGTAATTCAGGGCATCACAAACTCTTCCTTCTTTCCCCACTGTTGTAAAGTGCCATCCAGTGGGTTTGACTCATAGCAACCCTGTATAATATTAATAAGGAGCCACTGGTAAGCTTGAACCGCCAACCTTGAGGTTCAAATCAATTTGACAGTCCAGTGCATTAACCTGCAATGCCACAATTCATTTAGTCAACTAAAATTTGTGCCTTCTATATGCAAGGAATCCTGGTGTGGCGCTGTGGGCTAATGTGTCATACTGCAAAGTCGTTTGAACTGCAAGGTCTGTGGTCCAAGCTCACCATAGGTGGTCCAACCCTATGCAGGGTTATGGGTTGGAATCAGCTCAACGGCACTTAACAACAACAACATATGCAAGGTGGAGTCCTGGTGTGGTGCTGTAGGATAAGCACTGGACTGCTAACTACAAAGTCAGTGGTTCAAACATACCAGCTACTTCATGGAAACCCTACACAAGGTAACTATGAATTGGTACCAACTTGAGGGCACTTAACACACCAACATATGCAAAATAAGGAGCTCTGGAGGCACTATGGGCTAGGTGTTGACAGCTAACCTCAAGGTCAGTAGTACAAACCCACCAGTCACTCCTTGGGAGAAAGACGACGTCTGTTCCCATGAAGATATATAGTTTAGGAAATCCTATACAGAGTCACTATGAGTTGGAATTGACTCAATGGCAGTGGGCTTTGGTTTATGTGCAAGGTAAGGAAGGAGTTCTGGTATGGTATTGTAGGATAAGCACTAGACTGCTAACTACAAGGTCAGTGGTTCAAATCCCCCAGCCGCTCCTCACTCCTTGGAAACTAGAGTTGTTATGAGTCCGAACTGACTTGATGGCACTTAACAAACACAAAGAACCCTGGTGGTGCAGTGATTAAGTGCTCAGCTGCTAACCGAACGGTCAGCAGTTCAAACTCACCAGTTGCTCTTCACAAGAGATGTGGTAGTCGGCTCCTGTAAAGATTACAGCGTTTGAAACCCTCTGTGGCTTTGAAACCCATAAAACTCATGGGGGCACTATAAGTTGGCATCCACTTGACATCCATCAAGTTGGGGTTTTTTATGGCTATATACAAGAGCTCCTTGCATACGATGGCAGGCAGGAACTGGAGCTTTATGGAACATCAGGCAAAAGGACTGCTCAAACATAAAAACTCTCCAAAGTAATTTTCAGATTCCAGAGCAGATGCATGTGGGTTGTAGAACCTTCCCCGCCTGTCTGCTCCTTAAGATGTTACATAAATCTCTGGCTCCCTGTCATTACTGCTGATGGTCCCTTATCCTACCCACTTCTGGTTAGCGTGCACTGCTGTACTGCCTCATTCGGTCCTCCTGCCCCTGCCTTCTCTTACCTTGTCCTGTTCCTCTCCTCTCTTCCTGCAGGCCATGCATACTCATCCCTGTCCCATTTTTCAAGCTGACTTCTTTCCTCTCACAGAGGAACCTTCCGGTGGTTAGATCTCTATTAAGGGACTGTTTCCAACATCAAGATGTAAGTGAAAAATCTGCAAGTAAGAATCTATGGATTCCTTTACCTATTTTCATAGCAGTGCCTTCTCAGTGAGTTTGACACTATCACACACACAAACCACAAAACTAATTGTGAGGTCAGATTTTCTTTTTTTTGGTGGAGATTAGATACTTGAAGGACTCATGATGGGGTTTCCTCCCTAACTACACCCCTGGATAAGATAACTGTCAGTAGCTTAGTTTTTCAATAGAATATAAGTCATTCTGCTTAAGGGAGGGCGAAATCAGAGATAAGGATTTATGAATTGTGCCTGCAAGTTTATTTGGAGGAAACTGTTATCTAAACAGTTGTTT